TTGGGTCATTGTCATGCTGGAATACCCATCCACGACCCATTTTCAATGCCCTGGCTGAGGGAAGGAGGTTCTCACCCAAGATTTGACGGTACATGGCCCGGCCATCGTCCCTTTGATGCGGCGAAGTTGTCCTGTCCCCTTAGCAGAAAAACAACCCCAAAGCATGTTTCCACCTCCATGTTTGACGGTGGGGATGGTGTTCTTGGGGTCATAGGCAGAATTCCTCCTCCTCCAAACACGGCGAGTTGAGTTGATGCCAAAGAGCTCCATTTTGGTCTCATCTGACCACAACATTTTCACCCAGTTGTCCTCTGAATCATTCAGATGTTCATTGGCAAACTTCAGACGGGCATGTATATGTGCTTTCTTGAGCAGGGGGACCTTGCGGGCGCTGCAGGATTTCAGTCCTTCACGGCGTAGTGTGTTACCAATTGTTTTCTTGGTGACTATGGTCCCAGCTGCCTTGAGATCATTGACAAGATCCTCCCGTGTAGTTCTGGGCTGATTCCTCACCGTTCTCATGATCATTGCAACTCCACGAGGTGAGATCTTGCATGGAGCCCTAGGCCGAGGGAGATTGAAAGTTATTGTGTTTCTTCCATTTGCGAATAATCGCACCAACTGTTGTCACTTTCTCACAAAGCTGCTTGGCAATGGTCTTGTAGCCCATTCCAGCCTTGTGTAGGTCTACAATCTTGTCCCTAACATCCTTGGAGAGCTCTTTGGTCTTGGCCATGGTGGAGAGTTTGGAATCTGATTGATTCTGTGGACAGGTGTCTTTTATACAGGTAACAAGCTGAGATTAGGAGCACTCCCTTTAAGAGTGTGCTCCTAATCTCAGCTCGTTACCTGTATAAAAGACACCTGGGAGCCAGAAATCTTTCTGATTGAGAGGGGGTCACAAATACTTATTTCCCTCATTAAAATGCAAATCAATTTATAACATTTTTGACATGCGTTTTTCTGGATTTTCTTGTTGTTATTCTGTCTGTCACTGTTCAAATAAACCTACCATTAAAATTATAGACTGATCATTTCTTTGTCAGTGGGCAAACGTACAAAATCAGCAGGGGATCAAATACTTTTTTCCCTCACTGTAAATACATTCTGATCTGATTCTGCATATAAATTGGATGTGTGTGTGTGTAAATGCCCACAATGCAAGTGCCACATCTCCACTTGAGTTCGAATGGCGATTCGATGGCGTCAAATGTCCTAAAATATGGTTGGCGCAAGTCCCAATTGAGCGTTAAGACGTCCCTCATGCGATGATGTAAAACATTGTTGTTGGTCTTAGCCAGGGCTTAACATTCCCCCCCCCCCACAATAGGCAGCCAAATAGTCAAAATATCGAGTCAAGGAATGGCTCACGCAGCTTGTACCACTGTAACTTGCTGAATATCTTCACTGCAACCCCTCCCCCCACCCCCAATTGCATCCAGCAAAATACGAATTGAAATATTTAACTGCCCTCATAATAGTATAACGCTCTCGTGCTCAAGGCGCAATAAAAAACACCAATCTATGTTGCCTTGTAGGCAATAACTTGAGAATTGGAGAACTTGTTTCAAAATCTGCAAGCGTGCAAGCAATGCATCACAGAGCGGGCTTAACGGGGGGGGAATAATGTGCACAGGACAAGCATTGGACATAAGGGTACAGTACTGGGTTCAGTATACCGAGAAAAGGGGTCCCACTTCAAATCCCATTGCACGCACTCCGACTGCAGCATCTGCAATAGTAAAGCCACCGTGTTCGCTCATCCTAGCAGCAGGCATGCACACAGCGTTGTACTACTACACGTAATGTAAATATACAATTGTATGAATCATACGGAACTGTACAATACAGCAATGTTTGTAGTAAACTGTACAATGGCCTGTATCAAAGAACAGTAATACTTTATACAGTAAACCACAATGCATATATTTGTTTACTTAATTAAACAAACTTAGAGCCCTCCTCCACCCCACTGCTGGCCAACTCACATGGGCTCCCCACGGACATGTCAGTCGTGACGGTTGTTCGACTATACTTCACCACAGTCGTCAATGTGAATTGGTGAATGAGCAGACGGGCCCAGGACTGGTTCAGATATTACTCGCCAATGTTCGCCACATTCCAGAACGTCTGCTGCCAATACACTCGTTGAAACTGTTAACGACACGTCCCAAACAATCGCATTCCCTCAACAGTGTTGTGTCCTTCGTCACTTTGCTAAACCTTCAAGCCATCGTAACAAAAAAGTGACACGTCAACTGCATCACACGTTGACCTACATTTAGTTTGGATTATTAGCCGCTCTGTATCTTGCCCTCACTGCCAGCCTGCTGGGATGGGTGGCATTTCCACAACAGAAATGGGGGTTAAGGATTGCAATGAAATCCGGTGGCGACCTCAAAGAGCGGACCCCACGGGGGCTTTCTGTTCACACACACACATAGCAATTGTGCAAAATGCAGATGATGGTGTAGCCTCTTTGCTAAGGGGGGGGGGGGGGGGGACCACGGAGAGATTGAGCCAATGTACGGCGAGAACCACTTTAGGGGGCAAGCGAGTTCAATTGGAAAGGTGCCGAAAGCACCAACAGTAGCTTCTTGGCCACCGACAATATTTTCGTGACGTCTTGAGTGTTGTTCCCTTTTTTGTTTATTTCCCCGCCCCCCACCCCCATATTTACTGCATTCCTTATTATTTACACATACAAGCAAACTCGTATTTGGCCAATCATCCAAAACCATGACTCCTGAGCCAGGTGCATTGGTGAGGCTCTCTCAGAGTAATCAATTGCTGCCGCTCTCATAACAGTAGAGGTATGCATCGAGTTCAAGCTTACACCTTCCAAAAAGGACCCCGACAGGACCTGGGGGCTTGATCAGCCATATTAAGCTTACCTTCTGCGACTGCCAAACACACACCGAGACTTCCGTCTCCAAAAGCTCGTACAATAAAGACACGGGCTACGTGACACGCGCTACGTGACACGCGCAGCTGAGAGATGACAGCTCCTTGCTGATGGATCCACACGCAGCACAGTCAATACATTTTTTTTATCCTTCCGCAAAAAACCCTGGTTCCCTCACGGTCAGCCGTCACGCGATCCCCGGCACCCTCGCACACAGCAATCTTCTGTAACCACGAAGACGATGGCAAGCTGGCTGCCAAGGGTCACGTTTACTTCCACCTTTACAACAGCACCGCGATGTTCAACAAGACGGCTAGTGAGCCCACTCATGGGGGGGGGGGGCACGGGGGTGGGAGCTACGGTGAGCCCCACTTCCCCATCTTTAACAACGCCAAGCAATGAATGCTGAGACCACCGGCAGATGCCGAACTTGAGCTGGGCCCCGGAGGTCATCAAGGAGACTTGCACAAATGCGCGCACATTTCTATGCAGTGAATGATGAACTCAACACGCTCGTCACAAAAGAGACCGCTTTGGGCACTGCGAGGGGAAGGACGATGCATGGACATGTTTTTCAGCGGAGACTTGATGGCGCTGCTGGGGGTACGGGGCTCACCGAGCAATCCCTGTGTGAAGAATGCGCTCGGCCACCAGCTGAAGGGACATCGGAGGAATCGGCAGGAATTGGGTTACCTGCCAGCCAACCTAAGCTGTCGACCTGCCTGCTTGCTTGCCTGGGCTGCTGACCTGCCTGCCTGCCTCCCCATCTGCCTGCCTGTCTGCCTCCCTGTCTGCCTGCCTGCCTGTCTGCCTGTCTGCCTGTCTGCCTCCCTGTCTGCCTCCCTGTCTGCCTGCCTGTCGTCCTGCCTGTCTGCCTCCCTATCTGCCTGCCTGCCTGTCTGCCTCCCTATCTGCCTGCCTGTCTCCCTATCTGCCTGCCTGCCTGTCTACCTGCCTGCTTGTCTGCCTGCCTGTCTGCCTGCCTGCCGGCCCGCCCGCCCGCCTGCCTGTCTGCCTGTCTGCCTGTCTGCCTGTCTGCCTGTCTGCCCGCCCGCCCGCCCGCCTGCTTGTTTGTCTATGCTCTCCGCGTGCCTATCTGGGCTGCTCGCCTGACTGTTCGTCTGCCGCAGCTGCCCAGCCTGCCTGCGTGCCTGAGCTGCTGGACAGCCTACCTGCTTGCTTAAGGTGGAATTGTTTGTCAGCGTTCAAGATCAAACCCTCTATTGTTGTGAACTCTCGTCAATACTCGCTGGCAAGCATTATAGAATAATGGTTCTTGGCGAGTTCAATGTGCATATTGACGTGGACGGAGATCCCCTTGGAAAGGATTTCATGAGTTTGCTTTGTTGAACAAGTATCAAGCCCGATGCACATTCACGGTTGCCCACTTGATCTAATTATCACCCGTGGTCTTGACACCCAGAATTTGTCTTATCCGCGATTCTTGCAATCTTAGCCTATTTTGTTATTACTTTCGAATACCTCGCCTAAATAAACCCCCAAAGACTATTGTATGAAAACACATGTCCCAATTCTTCCACTGCTGGGAAATTCTTGGAAGCTTTCTCCACTTCAGCTCCTATTTAATGTAGTGTACTCACAGACATTTCAACAGCTCCACCCTAAGTACTATTTTGGATATCGTGGCACCCCTTACAAGAACAAAACATAAATTCAAAAGGTCATCCCTGTGGTTTCATGATACAGCTCGGGAGCTTAACCGTGCAGGCTGTAAGCGCTCGAACGTGAATGTGGGAAAATTACCCAATTACAGTTCTTATATCTCACCTGACTAAATATAAAGCTGCTCTCTGTCTTCAGATAGATCATCAACTATGGTATAAACAAATAAGAATAATCCTCGTGTTCTATTTTAAACGATTGCTAAACTAATAAGCTGTAGTTCTACATAAATACACAATTACCAGCAGGTTGTGATGACTTTATATTAATATTAGAAATCATGTCAGATAATAGACTCAACCTAGATGATACGTTCTGTAATAGCCATAAAGCTACTCAGGTCATGTGAAAGCAGATCATATCTTTGTTTGCTACTATTAGCCAGCTTGATCTTATCTATTTAGTTGTTGGGACAAAATTAACTACATGTGTTTCATACCGTTCCCACTAAATTGTGTCAAGACAAATTTTTTCTAAGTGAGATTTTTCGATGCTTTCTTTCCATGGAATATGCAGAGAATGACGCCTTCATAACATCCAATGCTTGCTTATAGCAATGCTTTGTTTTGCTGGAATTCACGGAAATGCGTGAAACCCGACTGCGTCTTATGAAAAACGCTGCTCCTGAGGTTTTTAACAGGAAGCAGAAGACATGATTACATCACACCGGTATGGGCAGCCCTATGTGGGCTTCCTGTGAGATTTAGGGGTCGATTGTATGGTCACACAGCATTAAACGGCTTGGCCCCTTCATATTTAAATATTTTAACTCCGTATATATACCAACGCGACCAGGATGCAGGATTGCTCACTTACCCTAAGGGTTTAAAAACAAAGGTGGTGGTACATTCGGCTATTCGCATCCCCCCCCCCCCCCGAATGATGGACTCTGCTGTTGCCTGTTTCCGTATGGGAGTTGTCAACGGTTTCGGTTTTTAATCTCGATTAAGACACTTACGCAAGCTATCGTTCACTTGTTTTACACTCTATAGCACTGCATTTTAATTGATCTCTGTGATTAATGTTTTCATTACTTATTATTGCCGCCGAGTTATCGACACGGAATTGTATTGCCGTTATGCTGTTTTTATTCGTGAAGTGCTCGATACTAAATTAAAACATGTATTGATTGGATTGATTGTATTGATTGTAAGAGGGAAGAAGGCATCATGTAGTAACATTGTGGCCGCTAACAGCGATCTAAAGGTTTTTAGTACAGCAACAAAAAATATATGATGAGGCTCGGTTTATATAAGGCTTTAGAACACGGTGTTTTAAAAGTCATATTTTTGTAACTGTTATCAGCTATTTTGGTTTATCAGTGACAAAACTTGCAGCTTTACAACAAGATGCCAAAGTAACCCCCATGAGAACACGCAGAGTCGGTGTGTTGTCTCTGTGTTACCCCGGCAACGAGACTTGCACATCGCCACGGGCGAACACGGAACCCCCTTTAAATCTCAAGCGTCTTAGGAATTACATGGAATCGTCACTTTAATGGGTGGGTGGGTGGGAGTATGTGTGGAGTCACATGCACTAGACGAGTATTAAAATAAGTACAGCACAGAATGTTGAGAGAGAAAACAAAATTTATAACTCGTTATAATTTTTCAGTATCTGAGAGTTTGTATTTTCAATTTACTGTGAACACTCAAGTAATTTGAAATTCATTGCCTGTAAGTGGGCTGAGGGGGGGGGGGGGGGTCCATATTTGAACATCGCAGACTCCACTGTGACACAGGCAAGCTCCTGTCGAACGCACACCGAGTTTTCCTCACCTCTTCTTTCCAAGGAAAAGCCGAGGAGGGGGCAAAGACTTGCAAACGTCTCGTGACACGTGGAGCGATTAAAGTCGCCCCCCCCTCTTACATTCTTTGCGGTCAACGTGACCTGAGCAGCACAGGCGGACCGAAGAAGCAGCCTCTACTTGTGCCAAGACATTACTTTCATTTAAAAAAAAAGGCGCAAAACGGCTGCAATTTTTTTCCACATTGACTGAAAACTCAGAAATACCGTAACATGTTCCCTGGATCATCTGCTGTTTGAGGGGGGTGGATGGGGGGGCAGCTTAGTATGCAACGGCTGACTTAACCTTCTACAAAGAGCCATTTCACAAAAACGCCTGCGTATTTCATAACCCGTGATAAATGTACGATGCGACACTAAATATGGCATTAAATACTTCCAGAATACATGCTTTTAGTTAACTGTTTCATGCATCATTTGTCAAGCGCAACAGGGGTCAGGAAACCCTAACTACGTGCTTGATTTCTATTACTTCATTGATTTTTCTTTCTTTCTTTAATCTTCCGTTGGCAAACAACAGCTTTGAAAATCTCGCCTACGAAACATTTTCAACTCGAAGGCTTTCAGGTCCTACAATAGGCACAAAAAGTACGTATCGGTGCGTGTCCAAGTTTAAACATGTTTTCAGGACACTTTGTCCACAAAGGCACCGCAGGAAAATTTGAAACGGAAGTCCACAGCGTTCGTCACAAACCTCCACTTTGAGCAGGGTCCTCGCCAACAATGCTCCGTCACAGATTTTTGTATTTCTGTAAGGATTCATCCAGGCGACCGGCGATGGCCTGGTAGAACGCAATCTGTTGCTGGAGGTAGAGCTGCATGATCTGCCCAAAGTCCTTCACGCGCGTGCAGTGAAAGTGGTTGAACTCCGCTAGGGTCGCGTGCGACACCGTGTTGGTCCGCGTTTGAACCTCCGTCAGCTGACCGGCGTCCATCTTGCCCTCGTCGGCTGCCCGCTGGCTCTCCTTGACCTTAGCCACAGCACCTGTTGGCCACAGGGACAAACGATTGTGCTGAATTATAAAATATCTCTAATTATTATCCATTTTACATGTTGATATTCTTAAATGAAAAGGACATTGCTTTTTTTGAAATGTCATCCGGTTGCTGTGGTTATGATGAACTGCAATGTTAACTTTTTTGTATTTTTAGCATTTAGTAAATAAAACGCCCTTTTTGAGTCGTGAGCTACGCATGTTATAGGTGCTTAAAGAGGGTCAGATAACTTTTACAACAAGTGTGGTACATATTCTTAGCTTTTTCGGTAAAGTCACGTTGAAGGGAAACAATAAAATAATAAAATATATATAAAACAATTACATTCTCACGTTTCGTGTGAATTACTGCAGTCACGAAAGCTTTAAATCAAAATTTAAGTGTGGTACAGTGCACCTTTCATGTCAATAAATCATTAAATAGTTATGCCTTGTTTTAAAATCCTAAAGTGAACGAAAAAGATTTAAAAAAATATGTAAAATGTTGCTATATAGAATACATTTGGAATTTTCTACCACTGATAGAGCTTATATAATGCGCTTCACGGAGAGGGAACTAAATTAAAGTCTACACTGTAGGCTATCCTGCAAGATGCATCATCGGGGGCATGATGCAACTTCCGCCAATGCCATGAGGTTCCTGCAATGTGCAGTGGCATCATTTGCATGTGAATATAAATAATTGGTATTCACAGACGAGTAGCCAGTGAGGGATAAACGAGGACTGGAGTGGAGAAATACTGCTAAAGCTGGTAGAAATCTCAACTAATATGTGCTGTTAAGGCCTGACGAAATATAACTCCTAAAATGGTGTTTATAAAATACTTTAGTTTATATCATATTTAGGCAAGCTTTTCATTATAACTATTACAATATAGTTATTTGAGTTAGGTCTCACATTAAGTTTAAGATTAAAACTATAGAGGCTAATTTGTTCCAAGTGTCTGCTTAGCAATAGCACATGGTAGATTATACGACAGTTCTCACATTACACGTGACAAATGACGAACACTGCTATACTGCGACAATGCAGTACCAATTTGACAGGGTTCTAAAATTAATGGCACCGAAACAATAGAAAAATATCACAGCAGCATTTGAGGTTATTCTCTTCACGGCAACGCCAGTTACTGTATATGCAAAGATTTGATGTAAACAATTTACACCTTTTTGTATGTGAATGATGTCTGGGAAATTGGCGAGCAGTCCTTGGTAGAGGCACGTCACGTCCATCAGGGGCTGGAGATCCTGCTGTGGCTGTTGTGCAAATAGCTCCCCGATTGCCACGTAGGTGTTGCCTGTGTGGGTGATTGCTTTGGTGAGGTTGTCCGAATAGTGCTGATCATCCTGCTCAAACGACTGTCCAAGATTCTCGAACACCTGGCCCATCTTCTGAAAGTCGCGCTTGTAGTCAATGCAATGTTTGCGTGCCATCTCCCCGGCCGTGCCATTGAGCAGGACCACACTTTCATCCATTCTTTTGGAGAAGCTTCTGAAAGAGTCGGTCCGTGCCTCGACGTCCTGCAGGTCCAGGTGTGACGTTGGCGGTGCACTAATGGTCAGGTAGAACTTGGCTCCCACGGCATCATCTTTCTCAGCCCTTCGCTTGCCCTGCTTCCACGCTTTCTCGTCGGTGCACGTGAGAAAGTGCTGGAAGGCGTCGCACTGCGCGAGCACCGGATGGCCCGTCATATGATTCATCCAGAGGATGAGGCCCCGCCTGCGCTTCTGAACAAAGTCCTCCACAAAGCGCCCGGTCGCCTGCTTCTCGGGCAGGTGGGGCACCGACACCACGGGAAACTTCTGCACCAGGCGACCGTACAACCAGTCGAAGTGCTTATAACGACGGCTCACCGCCCTCCCCGTGAACGTGGGCGTCAGGCGGTAGGAGATGAAGCTCTTCATGCCTTTGAACTTAGTCTGCTTGGTGGGGTCCTCGATGGAGCAGGTGAATGGGAACGGGTTGTCGGGCCACGCCGGCCCGCGGTCCGCTATGTCGACGCGGACTCGGTCACCCACGTTGACGGTGCAGCCCGTCACGTCGCCCGAGATGAACGCCTCGCCGCCGGCCTTCACGTAGCGAGACAGCGACGAAACGCCCAGGGCGGAGGTGGCCGTGCCGTTGGCCCCGAACTGGCCGTAGGTGCTGCCGCTGTCCACGGTGGACGAGTTGTCGTCCCAGTCTGCATCCCAGTCGTCCTGGTCCTGGTCTGCGGGCTGCTGGGGCCACGTGCCTGCTGGAGTTTGTTGCTGATGATATGCAAAACAGCACGACAAAGATGATTTTGATATTATGAATGATTTGGATACGTCATCTACTTTTACGGTTGCAAACTTTAAACATGTTGCCATCATAACATTCATGAATACCACGAAATATGTTTTTATTATAAAAAAAAATCAGCTGTTCACTTAAAAGTAAAATCCACCAATTTAATATCTAAAATGTTATTTTTGTACAAGTATACCTACCTAGTACCCTCTAAATTTTGCAAATGAAACTTTTGTCAATGGTATCCCATCTGGTTGCAGTGCAAAGACATTACATTGAGAATGTTTAACAAGGTTCCCTCCATGTTAAAGCAATGTCATTACAGTACCCCAACTAGAAAATGCCCCTGAAATGTCACGAGTGAATTTCCCCCCCCCCCTCATATAGCAACATTCTGTGGTAGTGAAACTCTCAGCCCTCACACACAGACCCAAATCACAAATACTCCCCACGTGGCTTTTAACAAACTTTCGGGGCAGGTCCTGATATAGCCAGCGCCACTCACGGCCGCCTTTGCATCACCAATGCTGAGCTATTCGTTTTTATACACCAGGGACTCAATTCAAGTTACAATGATTGGCGATACTGCATGGGCAGTGGTGCACGAGCACAAATATCAAAATATTCAACACGTTCGGCAATAACACTGCCTCATAATAACATATAAAATATATTAACATATAAAACATATAAAATAGGCATGCACAGTTTTGAGCCATTGGCCCTCTTTTTATAGCACGTTATTTAACGTTGAGTCGACCTATGGGAGGCAAATAACCGCTATAGACACACGGCACTTGTGCATCGGTGATGCACAAACCACTGCACCACCACTCCCCAAACCACTGCACCACCACTCAACTTCCCAAACCACTGCACCACCACTCCCCAAACCACTGCACCACCACTCCCCAAACCACTGCACCACCACTCAACTTCCCAAACCACTGCACCACCACTCAACTTCCCAAACCACTGCACCACCACTCCCCAAACCACTGCACCACCACTCCCCAAACCACTGCACCACCACTCCCCAAACCACTGCACCACCACTCCCCAAACCACTGCACTACCACTCCCCAAACCACTGCACCACCACTCCCCAACACCACTGCACCACCACTCCCCAACACCACTGCACAACCACTCCCCAACACCACTGCACCACCACTCCCCAAACCACTGCACTACCACTCCCCAACACCACCACTCCACAAACCACTGCACCACCACTCCCCAATACCACTGCACCACCACTCCCCGCACAGAGACAACAAAGACAACGGATCCATCGAAGCCCAGCGTTGTTGTTGGGGCATATTCTGTGATATGGAAACAGTTAAATCAGCGCACGCACACACACAAAGACACTGAAACACACATTTTAGACTAAAACAAACGTATGAATTAAGTTATACTGCATCCCGATTTTTTTTTTTAAAACGCTTCCCAGCAGCTTCTCAACTCAAAAGACGGGGCAGAGAGGGGTTCTTGCAAGAGTTTCAGACATTTTCTAAAAAAACAAAGTATCCCGTTAAGATCAGCACGGTGAGAATGTTCGTCTTCGGCTTTACCGATGACAACTCTCGGTCATAAATGCCGGAGTCAGTGACTCAACTCCGTTTGTGACTCAACTCGGGACGCCGTGAGACGATGGGTGGATAACGCGAATGGCGAAGATCCTTACACTGCATGTACACAGTCCTGTTTAAAGTACTGCCGTGATGTAGTTGCGCCATGGTGCTGGTGCTGCTCGTCGCCTTATCTGCCCACGAACATTTTACCCGGACAGCGTTCTCGGCTGTTGTAAGAATCTAAGCAGGATTTTTTTTTTCTTTAAAGCCTGGACAGTCCTTTTTAGATTTGTTAACAGCACGTTAGTAAATACGCAGAGGTGCAATAGGCGTTGTGGACAGAAGAGGGCGCGGCTAACAGCCATCGCTATGCACCAAACCTTCACAAATCCACACTGACCAGTTTGGTGAAGTATGGTCAAGGTCCACACCCAGCAGTGTATTGACAAAACGGCCGCTATACTGCCCCACGTGCTTGCGCGTTTGTAACCCGTTACATGGCCAGACCATTAAGCCGGTGTCTATCCACTGCTGGATTGAAGATCTTCGTCACTAAACTCAGCGTTGCTGCTGCTGCAATCGTCAATCTCATCCCTTTAAACATCGGAGTTGATCATTTAAACAAACAAATTTTGTTTTAAAAAGGGTGACTTTGGACCCAAAATGAAAAAATCCACATCCAACGTCGCAAATCCCAAACACATTATTATTATTATATATCTCTCTGTCTCTCTCTCTCTGTCTCGCTCTCTCGGGCTCTCACCTGGTTTGAAAAAGTCTTGAAATTGTGCGACTGCTGCTGGTGGCTGGCGCTCCAGGCTGCAGCGGTGGTGGTGGTCTGCGCCAGGCCCCCATCGCGACCCGCCGAGGCCACTCCGCCACGGAGGTTCGCGGTCACGTCCCTGACACCACAGCCGACGTCGTCTTCGTCGGGCAGAAACTCCACGTACGTGGCCGGGAAGAGGCCTCTCTCGCCGCGGCTGTTGGTGCCCTCGAACCAGCCGTCGCCGACGCCCTCGTTGAAGACCGTGAGGACATCTCGCTCCCTGATGGAGATCTCCCCCTCGTTCTCGCTCTGGAAGTCGTACAAGGCGCGGGCCCGGCGCGACACCATGGTCAACGGCGGTGCAGAACGACAACGAAGATGATGATGGTGGTGCTAGTGGTTAAAGGGGTGGTGGTAGTTGAATAAGGATGGAGGGTGTGGTGTGTGTGTGTGGAGGGGGAGGATGAACCACCGTTTTGTGTTTGTGAAGCCGAGCAACGGTGGAGTTGGTGTGTGAGCGAGAGGGCGGGATGTGTGCAGCGTGATGGGTCTGTGTGTGTGAGAGAGAGAAGCGCGCCCTCTCTGTCGAGGAGACGTCACTAATGCTAATACACAAACAACAACAAGAAGAAGAAGAAGCAAAAAGGGGGAGGGGGGGAGGAGGAAATCCCACGAATAGCCTCTAACTACGCCAGACTTTCTGGGGCCAACGCCGGTTGCGAAAGTGTTGTGAGCCCGGCTGCCTTTGTCTCCCCAGTGGCGATGTTTGCGCACAGCAACAGGTACTGGTCATCCAAAGGCTGAGCAAACTACCGTGGCTTTTTTTGTTTGTACATCTGGAGAAAAATAGCGGAGCGGCAAGCCAGGGGGACGGACAAGGCGAGCGTGGAGATGGAGCCATGGAATCGGCTGGTGTGCTTTAGGCGGATTATCTCGTTGCAGGATTGCGATGTTGTCATTTCAGCAGTGGAATGACAATGGCTGATGATCATGATGCTTGATTGGGGGAGCGAGAGCCCTGTTTGGGAATCAAAGTCAAAAGAGTTGTGCCCGATAGTGTCCGCAAACCGCTCCCCATAATTACACAATAAGAGTCGTGTCCCATATTAGGAAGCCACTGGTAGCTATGTGCTTTGAAATCTAATTTTTTAAAATGAATTTATTTAGAACTGCTTTTGTGTGTTTAGTTTTTTTGTGTCCCATTCCCACACCCTCCGATGAGCCACAGATGGGCACGTACGGTGCGAAAGAAGTCCAATGTATATGCTTGTACCGTGCACACATTCAAGTGCTGTTTGCAAGCAACATGACGCGCACGGCCACTCATGGCTTGAAGCAACTATAATTGACAATGATTAACTGCAGAATAGTACAGGGAGAAAGTTAAAGGCGCAGCCCTGAAATTGCTTCGTCTGGCTACTGCTGGCGGAAGGGCCTCCGCCATCGAGGGGGAGCTCGAGAAATCCCCTCTCAGGGGGCTTTTGGCCTACTCTTCCACGCTCGATAAGTCGTCTTGGAAGTGGATCGACATCCAGCGGTGGATCAAGCATGGTCGCACGTGACGTGTCCCCGTATTGTCACGCAGTGACTATCCACCGCTGGATGAATAGCCTCCAACCACAGTCCATCGGAACTGATCTCTCATCCGTGCACATCCTGGCGGTATCGCTGAAGTCCTCACGCTGCGTCGACTACGAGGAACCTTTTGCATTTTCACAATGTGCCGTACGACGGAAGACGAATAAGAAACGGATCTAGTCGTCGCCAAGTTGCTCCGCGTCGCCCACTGCGCGTTAAAGCCCCCGCGAAGGAGTTAACGGACGCACACGGCAAAAGACGCGGCGTGGATTTCCGGATCCGGGGGATCGGGATTGTGTTTGGCAAAGCAATCCCCGCTCCGAGATCCGTGATCCGCAGCTCCGCTCCGAGATCCGTGATTCCGCGGTTTCACGCGAGCTCTGTAGCGGAAGCGCCGCCGCTGATGAGCTGGCGTCTCAGACTGCTCCAGAACAGACAAAGGATCCCCTCCCACGGGTGTAGCGTACACAGACCGATGGGTCAAGTGCAGTTAGCGAGCACCTATAATTAGAATGTATATTTATGTACTGGAGGAATCCGATGCGCTATAAAGCCATTTTTTTTCACAGATGCCCAGTAGGGGCGGGTCACAACGTTAAAACGACAAACAATATAAAAAACACGGCAGGACTGCAAAGTACAAAAGAGGCAAACAGATCACTCAAAATAATAACCAAGTAAAACTAAACTCATGTTTCTGTATTACAAGGTAAAGCCCACTGAGGTATTAACTTATTTTTCAGAAGCGACCTGGTCACAGATGACAGCTGAACAAAGTCACTTATATTCTTGGTTCTTTCCCTTCTACGTGACTTTACCGAAAGAACCAAGAATATGAGTCCCTTCAGTCACGAAAGCTTTAAATCAAAAGTCACTTATACATGGAGAAGTGTAGCAGCAAAATCATCTAAATGCACGCTTCTGGTGGTTGCGTAACGAGGTGCTTGGTGTGTTCAGAACTCCACCCGGCCGCATCCCTCTCTCCACGACTGTTATTTTAGACACCGTGCCGACTACTAATTTAAGACTGAGTCAACCTAGGGGAGGGCCCATGACGGACCAGGCTCGATTACAGTATCACTCGCTGCCACACCGATGCTATCCGTTGGGAGGCACTCAGGTGGGTCGGTTCTAATCACTGCGCCACCGCTCCCCAACCACGAACAACACGGACGTCCTGAATTTAAAAAAACCACCTCATTCAGAACCCAAACATCACAACCCTCCTCGCTTTGACATTCCTCCTCAAATACACTGGTCTATGTATGTATGTTGAACTTCTTTAGCACCGTACGTACCCAACCGTGCTAATCGGAGGTGCGGAGTAAGTATGACACACTGAAACACTAAAAGCAGTTCTAAAGTCAGATCACTGAGTTCTAAAGAGATGAGTTTTCAAGCTAGATGAGTTCAAAGCGCATAGCTCGTAGTTGCTTCCATATATGTCGGAAGAAGAGCGTTCCAGACGGCCAACATCAAGACCCCGATGCGAACATCTTAAACGGAAGATTAAAGACAAGCCACGGTAGTGCGATTGTGGCCATGCAACCCAAACTGTGGACCGTTTAATAAACCACTGTAGTATAGCGTGCGCTCCTTCAACGGAGGCGGAGGAATAGCCAAACTCCACGAACTCTCCCGTCCCGAAGCCCCTCTCGTCGTGGCCAGCAGCAGACCTCGACATTCTCTCCTGCACACATTGCCATGGGCAAGAGTGGAACCAGTGCTTCTGTATAAGTAGCTGTGTCGGCACAAGGGGACACTGTTGGGTTTGTGTGAACAATTCAGGAATCTCCTCCCCTCCACTGCCGGTCACCAGGGTGGTCGATCCACTGCTGGATTAGGGCCTCCCTGTATGCCCCCGTGCGTTATTTGGCCATGCCAAGCCACGCCCGGCCAGTGCCGGTTTGGTGCAGGCGGGAGGGAGGTCAACAAGTCCCGTATACTGAGCACAGTGGATTTTTCTGCACTGCCATCTGCCGATGACAATGGCTCAGCGGCAGTCGATAACGACCTGCTGCTACTGTTGATCGTGGTGGTCGTCCATCCGATTACTATCCAGGCTCAACCTCCGCTTAGCTTATGAGATCTGGATCACCTGGCGAGATAGCAAGCATCCATTCATCCATCGGTTAATATCGACTTGCAAGACTAAGCCGCACACGTCCTAAAGCGATATAGTTAGATGCATGCAAATTGCATGCGACCAATAATGATGATTATTGGTACGTGTAAGCTCGTGGAACGAACGCAGCTGTACGGAGACATAAAAGGGGGAAGTACTAAAATGAGATGGTAAAATTACACAAAAAACATCGATCGTTGAAACTAAACGCCGGGGCTATTATAAGCGGGTACACTCCCTACCAACACCGCTTCGGGAAATGTTGCCAATTTATGCGATTTTGTCCGCTAGATTTAGTGACTTTATAGCAACAGCGCACAGTATTGTCAAAGCAATCACAAATAAATACATCTCAGTATATATTGGGTCGAGGGCGTTGTACAGAAGTAGGAGTGGTTCCAGGTCTACATGTAAAGGGTCATGTAACTATTTACAGAGTTGAATTTTAAGTGTCGTACGTAATTCACAAATTTTCAAATACGAAAACGTCCAACACCGTCGCACGACCGATTGGGCCTCGTGACATTAGCTGGCTAAGAATAACGCGATGATGTCATTCAACCAAGATCGCATGGCTGTAAGATGACTAAACGATTTGGCGGTTTCCGAGATAACGCCCCGTCCATCTGGTTTGGTTTTATGATGACCTCCCATTCCTGACCCACATCCTCAACGGAGATCAAAGTGGCTTTTACGGGGTGCTCCTCGCTAACGTGGCCATCAATCCCCAACCATTCAGAAACAATTATCAAGCAAAAAAGATGGGATGAGAGAAAACAAATCCGACGAATAACGTCGTTTTCAAGAATTATAAACATTTCAGTTGGTGAGGTGTTCGTCTAGCAGTGGATTGACTGAGTGTTGTAAAACGACGCGAGCAGCACTTTTTGCAGTGTTGCTAGAAATGCGCATGCCCTCCAGAGGGTGTTTTCACGGGAAGACGCTGACTTTGATATATTAAATATCGCACGTTATTTATGGAAAGTCCATCCGACCTTGTTTCGATGTTATAAAATGTCTAATTTTAGAACTTGACTTTACACGTAGGTGACACAAAAAGGTGACACGCGAAATGTTAACCATTTCCCTGCATTTTGGAATTCTCAGTCGTTATAGTGTTTCAAGACGACGCAAAGTATTCTACGGTCCCCGGGCGATGTATAAGTCACCAATGCCAGCTGCCCTCACAGCACCGACTGTAGGACTGTTTCCCTGGCATTCATAGCTATCTATTGTTCCGTTATAATGCAGTAAGAATGACATCAAGTGGTGGAACATATGAAAGGTGCAGCCCTGCAATTCCATGTTTACACAACTGCTGATAGAAGACCCTCTGCAGCTAGGAGACGTTCTAGAGAGCCCCTCTACAGAGTATTGGCCTACTTTTCCATTCTGGCTCATACGTCTTGGAAGACCTGGGAGTGGACCTATACTTTACGCCACCACACGTAACCTGCCGACAAACCTGTGTAGCGCGCATTTATACGGCCGGGTGGATGGTAACAAAAGCGTATTTCTGCGCGCATTTCCACCACCTTTGGTTACGGAACTTGTTTGACCTTTAGCAGGAATGACCAACAACAACAAAAAATGCTTGAGGTTGCAATGAAATATGCTGACCGATCGCTGTTTGTGCGGTAGCTTCACTCCTCGCCGAGCTGAACGCTGCAGCTTGATCAGCACTTCGCTCGCACTGGAGTTAAAACAACAAATGTGTTTACAACTATGGACCATCGATTCACTTGCTTCTAGCATGGACGGCCACCATGCCGACCACCGGCGTGCCTTGTTTTGGAGGATGTTGGGAGGCGTGCTGCATTATTAAGGCCACGGTGGAAACATTTCGGGTCGCCGTTTCTCTTTGGCTTGTGCGTGTCCGATTCCGTTATTTTCCACGAGGGTGTTGTTACCTTTTCAGGAAACCTGCACAGAACAATTGGAACCTGGCACCATTGTATAAAGAAAGAAAGTAAAAAGTCACATTTACGGTGCATATATAAAAACAATCATGAAGCAAAACACAGGCAGATATATCTACAGTACAAACTAAGTAAAATATTACATAATAAGCAGTTACATTGAATGGTGACACGGTTGGTTCAACATTTTCAAATCATATATTTTTAAATTAATGTGTATTATATACATATATAACGCCTCTTATCTCTAATATGCTGAGACCGGGATGCATTAATTGTGCACCTCCTCTTTCGTGCGAACAAAAGTATCACAACAGGATGCCAATTACAGTTTATCCGTCCGTGTTTATGTTCCGCTCGGTTAACACGCGCAGGGCAATGCGAAAGAACACCAGGAAAGTGCACACACGCATTGCACGTGCCCAGCATTTTCCAGGAATCGACAATCGACATTGCGCGCCCACCGAAATACAAAGCTCGGCAATTTGTGTTCCGATTTCCAAAAACGGTTGTAAAACGACACCGATCCGCGCCGATCTGGCCCAGGCACGACCCCATTCCTTGTCCCGTTTCTTCAGATCGCTGCGCGGCTCCACGAGGATCGGCTCCTTCCCTTCCAGGATTTTACTGCATCAAGAAAGGTAAAAAAAACTAACAAAAATTAACAGAGCGACGTCTGACAGAAAATCACAGAGTGAAACACAAAAACACAGTAATTAAAACTATTAAAACGGCAAATAAATACGTGACAACAATTATTTCTTCAAGAAATTACAAATGCCAAACCGAACCAAATCAGCAACACAATAAACAATTAACGCAGTACGGTTTGATTTAATACTGAAATTAAATGCAACCGCATTTCATGACGCCGTATAGAAATTTGGTGTATTTCATAGAGGCGGTCAGTGCGTGAATGGGAGTAGAGTGCGTAGGGGAGTGAGATGAGAGGGGAGAGGCAGGATAGTGCGTGGAGAGAGTGAGATGAGAGAGGCAAAAGAGTGCGTGGGGGGAGTAGAGAGATGAGAGGGGAGAGGTAGGAGAGTGCGTGGGGGGAGTGAGATGAGAGGGGAGAGGCAGGAGAGTGCGTGGGGGGAGTAGAGAGAGATGAGAGGGGAGAGGCAGGATAGTTTCAGTTTTCAGTTTATTTTGGTATAGCCCTGTCTGCCATTTGGCTCTTGAATCGGGTGCAACCACAACAAACAAAAAAACAAAAACACGAACAAGAAAAACATCTTAAAGTGACTATGTGACTGTGCAAACAGAAAATCCATGAAAAAAAACCACCAAACTATTCCTGAAAAAAGCACCGTACACCAACGCTGTGTAAAAAAAAACCCAGTGGGATGCAAGTCAAACAACAACAACCACAAGAAAACTTAGATTAAGACCATCAGTCTAACTCCGTACTACAACATAACAAACATGTCCAAACCAAAAAACTTTTCCAGATCACCAAAAACTAAAGCCATAATTGCAACGTAACAGTGATCGCAGGGACTGTGACCGAATTTTTACAATAAACTGCATAAATAACATGTAACACCAAATCCTAGAGCCATAGCTGGCTGCATGAGTTACTCCACAACAACAGAAGCATCGGTCGGAGTATCAAATTTTTCAAAACACCTTTAAGATCAGCACGCTAAATCAAAATGCAAATAATACTTTGCAGCGTCATCCGGGGCGAAACATTTTATTTTATTTTACGCCAATGAATAGCAGTGGCAGCTAGGGGTGTACAACTCCTCTAGAGCAGTTTTGAGAGAAGATCTCATTGGTAGCGAATCAAGTTGCAGTTTATTGGCAATAGCATTCCAGACTCTGGGGGCATAGTGCGTGGAGGGGAGTGGAGTGAGATGAGAGGGGAGAGGTAGGAGAGTGCGTGGAGGGGGGGTAGAGTGAGATGAGAGGGGAGAAGTAGGAGAGTGCATGGAGGGGAGTGGAGTGAGATGAGAGAGAGAGACAGGAGAGTGCGTGGCGGGGGGGGTAGAATGCGATGAGAGGGGGAAGTTGGGCAGTCGCGACTGCCACCTTGAAATCGACCTGGGACTGGATTGGGAGCAATCCGCGTGATCGTGCGTGGAGGGGAGTCGCGTGTCAACGTATGTCACTAAGCTCACATGCACACGAAGCTAGACAACCAAATAAATAAATATCGGCAGGGCACGTCTGTGTTGCGGGGGGTGCACTGTCACGGCAGCGTGCTCACTCTATCGGCAGCCGCGGCTTCGTCCTTGCTTCGCTGTTGCTGAGTGCTCAGCCGAGACGCATTTCCCGTGCTACAACAGCAGTGACACTAGCCAAACGGGAGCATCAGCGTGGCAAATTAAACACAAACGTACCGCTTGGGGTGTGCCCCTAGAAGCGGGTTGTATCATCCCGTTTGAGAAATACAATGACGACTGTAACGTCAAAATCTTTGGGGGGCGTCGACTCTTGACACCCGCACGCCCGCACGTCCGCCCCGTCAATTCCTCTTCAACAATCGGCCACTAGGTGGCGCCCTCGCATCGTGCACCGCTCCCTCTACACGTACTACATCAAATTTTGACTGAAAAACTCTTCGTGACTGCAGGAATTCATATTCTTTGGTTCTTTCGGTAAAGTCACGTAGATAGAAAATAAAATTAAATAAAATTAAAATCAAATGAAAATACATTTTTAAATAAAAGCAAAAAAAAATCCTCGACGTTTCGATCGCAACACAAGCGGTCTTCTCCGCCTGATAATTTTAATAGAATTTTGTATTTTCTATCTACGTGACTTTACCGAAAGAACCAAAGAATATGACCTCCATCAAACGCTGCTTTAATTTCCCCCAAAAAATAAACTGCTCGTCTCCGTCATGCTTAAGTTGACGGCGCTGGAGAAACGGAAAGCTTGTCCGTGGCACTGCCCTGAACGCTCCGAAGAAGGGCCATTGCTTAGAACATTACCTTTACTCTTTGGTTATTTCGGTAAAGTCACGTACGTAGAAAAATAAAATAAAAATAATTCCATTTTATTTTAAAGTCACGTAGGTAGAAAAATAAAATAAAACAAAAAAATTCTACCCACGTGACTTTACGGAAAGAACCAACGAGTATGGAGTCCTGCAGTTACGAAAGCTTAAAATCAAGATTAACTTTACCTTTACATTCTAAGGAGGTGATGTGGTGCGTTGTTTCATGCTCTGGAAATGTCATTTCATAGCTGTCAACCCCTTATCAGTACCCACCATGTTACAGAACAATTCAGACCTTATTTGTCACCCCGTGCCCCTTAGTCTCAATGTTCATCCTACAAAGCCACATCACGAGAGATAAACACAAACACGTTTCTGTGCCCGTATTGAAACGGCTGTACGCCGTATGGACCTGAAAACTCAATTTGGCTGTACAGGAATGCGGGGTAAACCGTAATGGGTTGACACGGCATGTGATTTCCCTGCTTTGGGAACACAATTTGGGTTTCAAATTGTGGACGACGACGAAGATCACAACGATAGCGTAGAATCGTGGTGTCGCACTTTACGTCCTCCTTCAACTCCACCGGCCTCCCGTCTCCTGACACCGCTGTCTTTTCAAACACCCGACTCTCGTCTTTAAGTCTCTCCATGGCCTTGCCCCACCTCAGTGTGCCACTCTCCTCTCATTCTATGCCCCGTCTCGCCCTCTTCATTCCCAATCCTCTCTCTGTGTGTGTCTCTATCCTCTCTCTCTCTGTCCCTTCTTCTCCGTGTGCTCAATCTCGTTTCCAGTCCTCCCTCCTTGCACCCCTCCACTGGAATGAACTTGTACAGGGTGGTCCAGATGTCCTGCGACCCCCCCCCCCCCCCCAATTGATTTAACCCTAGCATGTTTTTCCTTTACATATTCACTTCTGTTTTAAATAAACCTTACTTCGAAACAAATGACATTTTAGAGAATTAAATGGGGGTCACAAGACATCTGGACCACGCTGTATAATAAGCGGCCCTCCTCCTTAACCTCGTTCCGCCCCTCTCTTAAAGCCTCCACCTCTTCTCCATCGCCCATTCTCTACCTCTTCTCTCTTCCCGCCCCTCCATTTCTCCTCTCCCCTCACCCCCACGCACCCCTCTATCGTGACCACCCATTCCCTCATCCCATGCACGGCCCTGCCATCTCAATCATTACTTTGTTCATGCAGTTATTTTTTTATTATGTTAAGTGCCGTGATCAAAGACGCTTTATAAATATAAATTAAGATAGGATTCCAACGGTAAAATATTGTCGTACTCACTGCAAAAAACTTAGATTTCATTAACACGCCTCGTATGGCTAAACATTGTAGGAGGCCCCTCTAACAATTCCATACAAACAGATAACGTAACTTTTTTTAACCAGGTAAGGCCCAAGGTCAGGGTCGGGATCGAACCCACGACCTCCTTGCATACCAGGCGAGGTAGTTAACATCTCGCCACCGCGGCGCCCAAATGTAATGTCCTTTGCCAAAGCACTGCTGGATGAAAGTATCTCTACACCCTGTCGCTCGTGGGAGTCTATTGGCCATACTTTACCAGGCTGATTTGTTCGAGTTGGCGAAGGAAAGGCCCAGGACCGGTTCAGATCATATTCACCGCTCATGATTATCCGTGGCCCGGAATAGAACTCCGGTGACTTCAGACAGCAGTGTGCCAGCATTGCAAATCTCTGGCATGTTCTAGGAGTGCGTCTGTTGCTCATCTCCGTCAATACCGTGGAATGGCTGTCCACACATTTCTGTTGCGTGATACAACGGATCGCGAATTTAGGGGAAATTCTAAAGGGAGCCTTGTGGGCTTCAACTCTGCCCTCGCGCCAGCTAGCGTGCGGCGTGACTCCACGTGGAACGCGTGGACTCGACAAGTTGCAGTGCAGCTTTCGGGTAAATAAGTGTGGAATGTCTCGTGCCACTATTTCCTGCGATGCAGCAATTTTTTTGTCCTTTCCACTGACGGGCAATAAAATGACAGCTTCCGCCATGATTGACATTTTTTTCTCAGCGTGCTCCTTGCTGTGCTTGAGTCACATTTTTGTGTCATTTTTTCTGATCGTACTCGCGTCGTTTCTTTCCGTGTCATAAAGTGACATTGCACAACAGCACTATTGATGCTCGTGAAATTTCCCAAACAGACATTTCATATCAATCGCAAGACTAAGAGGTGTATTTCTTGTATTTCCGGCTTGTGTTTAATAAAAAAAACTATAGTTCGCTTTCCTCCAAAAGGTTTGGATGATTATTGTCCTGCATTCCTGATGTGCGTCCATCATTGTGTTTCGTTTATTGTCCCTCCCCCGCACCTCCGATCAGCACAGTCTGGCTACGTACGGCGCGCAGGAAGTTCAACACACATACAGAGTGTCTGTGAGCGCGCCGACTGGAGGTCACGACAGTTAACCCCGGGACGTGTTGTTCACTGGCGCACCGGGTGTGCCACTCTCACGAGGAGCGTCCGAAGCGTGCGGGGCGAGCTGTAGGACCGTAGACGTCGGCTCCTCGATCGATAGCATCACAAACAACCCCGAGCGGTGGAGCAAAGCGGCGCTCCATCCTAACGGTGCCCGGGTGAGCGAATTCCATCCCTGGACGTCGGCAGTCACAAGGCTCGAGGCGCGAAATAAAAAAAAAACTCAGGCATTGCAGTTCGTTACCAACTTTTTTGCTTGTTGCCACAAGTTGCACAACGAATCCTCGCCGATGCGAGGATTGTAGGTTTTTTTGTTAAATAAATCTCCGTTGTCAACGAGCTCGCAGCAAGCTACAGCCATATGGAATCTTTGTAAGTAGGGGGTGGGGGGGTAAGACCTCGTGACCTGGTTGCTGTTTGCGGTAGTGGCTAATGGGAAGCTGCCAGTGGTAGCAGAGTGCTTAAGTCGGAATTTGAAACTCCCCGGGCTCTTGTATACGCGCTGTCGATACATTTCATTTTAATGTGCAACTCGGGCAAAGTCTCGTTTCGTTTTGTGAAGACTGTGGGGGTGAAGGGGGGCTGACGGACAACCCCCGGAACTCTGTATTTTGAGGAATGTAAATAAACCCTTCTGTTCCGTAACCTATTCTGCATCCCAGCGAGTTATTTCACGGTTGCTGATGGGAAGAAGGGTTCACTTTCCGCTATTCGTCTCTGTTGTTTGCGGTTATTGCTACAAGCAACAGAGATGTATCGGCTCCCTCTGGTTGTTTATAATTCGGTTCGTATTCCATTATAGCGTCTTCTCGAGTTGATACAGCTGCTCGTGGGTTTCAGTTTACGCTGTGCCCTTCATCCATATTGCTCTTATTGTGGTGATGATGTTGGCTCGATACAGTTATTTGATCCGACTGCATATTATTTAGTCTTAGCGCAACTGTTTGCTGATCTCATTATTTGAATCCCGCCATCCAAATTCAGTCCCGTCCAATTTCAGCGCCACTGGGGTTTTGTTGTTGTTGTTGTGTACTCAGTTTTTTTTTTAATTTTGTGTTCCTTGCCCAGTCAGCGATCCTCTTTCCATTTGGGTTAAATTTAATTCCACTCCGTGCCGGCTTTTCATCGTGTTGTTTCCTCCTATGCGATCGTCTGCCGGACCTTCGCAAAAGCTTCTCCGCCAAGTGTCATCCTCGCCCCGAGTTGCCGTTCTCACCCTGTCAGCCTCACGCGACCAAGCGAGTCTCAAACCTTGAGAAACTGTTGGATCACTCTGTGCATTGAAAACATCTTCCAAGAGTGCCGATACTCTGGGATTTTTTGTATCCGCTATAATGGGGAGGGGGGTATTACCATCCTTATGCCGTGTCACGATTTGGTGACGGTACATTGTAGGTTCCTGTAGGAGACGCGTCTGTCGTCAAGAGGCAAAGGCTGTGCATTAGGGGACATCTTAAGCCTTGGGGAGGTTTGAAGCATAGTAATGTACATTATAGATAGGCGCTCAATCAAATCTATAAATGGTGGAATGACAAATGAGGTGCCCTGAGCCTGTGGTGGAAATTCCACATTCCTATTGCAGGGATCAGTTTTTCATAGAATAAACACCGTTGGCTTTATGCAAAGTGCAATTAATTTTATCAGCCCCAGAATTATGACAACAGGCTAGGTTAATATATAAAACATATTATGTGAATTACATATTTATAATTTACAGCACTTTTACAATCCACTGTTGGATTAAGGCCTCCCCACGCCGTGTCAGTCACGGGGGTTTGTTTGACCATACTTCACCACACAGCGTAGGTCAGTGAAGGGGTGAGGGGCCCAGAATCGATTCAGATGTCGCTCGTCACTAATGTTCGCCTTGGCCAGGAATCGAACTCAAGGGGCCGGGTTCATCGCGTATTTCAACGTGCAATATCCAGATTGTGAATTAAGCGCCCAAACCACAACTCCACCCAACCGGTTACATAAGCTCTACTACATATCTACATAAGAAGACAAGGACAAAGATCCCCCGTATAGTCTTAACAGACTGTTGGGGCAAGTGCTGTTCGTGAGCAGCAC